ATCTCAAATCCGGGATCAACATCCCAATATCTCAAATCCGGGGTCAACACCCCAATATCACAAATCCGGGATCAACATCCCAATAACACAAATCCGGGGTCAACACCCCCAACCAACAAACCCTCTGGCAAGGCACCACAGAACTAGTCTCTAACCATCTAGTCGTACCACTACTTTCCAAGTGACAATTACATCATCTCAATTAAATTCCAATTTTCATTCCAATTTCCGTTATCCTTTTCCCAATCATCCACAATCAATAATCCAACATCATCCTCAACACATCATCCAAGAACCAATGTCACAATCCAGTAATTACTCAACTTTTAATTAACACAGGATATTTCTCAGCACAACCAGTCAACAATTTCATATCACCAAACTTTCACATCAAACAATTCAACAATATCAAACCGATCAACAATATATCCAACACGACATACACAGGGCTAACACGTTTCTACAACAGCATCAACAATACCATAGCAACCATGTAACAGTCAACAATCATTCCAGCAGATCAAACAAACAACAAAAACACACAAACCACAAAACTACACACACAGCATTACGGGCACATATCAGGGTTTATCCATCCTCACCTGGTATGTCTCTGAAACTGCTATCCAGTCAAATCCCGATACCCTATGTGTACATATGGAAATACAATAATCACTTATAGTGCACAACAAAATGATCATGCATGATACCGGTTAACAGTTATTAGACGGCTTATCGGTTCTTTTATTTATTTCCATAATTATCTTATTCATTCATGTGGAGGTTACTAATAATCTATTTCCCATCTGGTACGCCAATCATATCCAACATAGTCAAAACCAAAACCGAGCGGTCAAACCCATCCCGGCCCTTAGGCCGCTTGTGACAAGAAAGCATATATACATACTCTTATACGTAGTGTATATTTAAGATAATCTATTTGTAATTAATTGAAGTTATGACCTATTTATACATATATGTATTAGCTAGAAGAAATAACCGTTGTAACGATTTATACATTTAGTAAATCTTATATAATCGTAGGTACTTGTATACATAAAACTATAATCATTAATTAAATAAAAATATA